GATCCGCCATCTTGTTTGTTCCGCCCACAGTGCAGTTTTATTTCAAGACCTAGCACCTACCAAACAGGGAAGACATTTTGGAGATGCAGCTTTATCAACACTAGCAGTCCAAGTGTGCATGTCACCAACAGCAGGGGGATGTGGATTGGGGCTGTGGGTTGTATCAGCAGCTTCTCAGATCAGCAAGCTGTGTGCGACCCGGAACACGTCGCTTGACCTCACTCCCGCACCTACATATGGACAACACTGAACAGAGTGACAGAGTGCAGGGCCTCGCACTGCCCTGAGTCGGTTCTGACACTCAGCTACCCTGTAGGGCCGAGCAGAACTGCTCCTTAGGGGTCTGAGACTCCCTCAGTCTACAGAAGCAGCCTCATCTTTCTGCTGAGGTATTTACTGAGTATTCAGTATATTAAATGTATCCTTTTTAAACTCCTACCAGAATGGGTTGCATTTCCTCAATCATCCCCAAAGACTTTTTTTCCCTGAAATTTAAATAACCCCTCTTTCTTCCCTCTTGGGGGGTATGGTGCCTCTGTATGATAAACACTGCAATGTAAACCACAATGTTGACGGTTTGAGCCCATCGCTGCTCTGGGGGGAAAAGATGAGGCTTTCTGCTACTGCAAAGATTTACAGCTTTAGTAACCCCATACTTGGTCACTGTGAATCAGTGCCGACTCCACGGCACTTCACAACAACTCTACTATCTCCCTTACCACCAGTCATCACCATGCCTCCAGTCTGTCCATTGTGTGGAATACCCTCTAAGTAGATGTCATCAGTGACTCTCCCAAACTGAAGCAGCTCCTTAGGATATTTCTTACTGGGATGTATGCATTCTTTATTCTGGTTCTTTCCAATCTCATATTACTCATTATATTCCCTCAAGTTTGTTGTGCAGCTTATACAATTTTTTGGAAGTTATTGAATGTGCCATTTTATTTCAGGCAGTTTTCCTTGCCTGCTAAATCCCCTCACCCTCTACTTTTTGCCTGCTATTTCTCTTTTTCAAAGCCTAGCTCAGCAACAAAAATTAGCAAAATGTAAACTTTATGCCAGAAGCCTTCCAAGATCTTTGTTGGTAACAGAATTCTTTGATTAGTTTTTCGTGATCAAGCCAGAGTATTAGTAAATAAATCAGGTATATATCCCCTGGCTATTGTATTTATTAAGAATATGATCTTATGTCCCAACCTAGGCCTGAGAAACATCTTACCTATTACAACAGCAAAGGTGCCAATTGTAAAGTTCATCCATTCAAGAAGTGGTCTGGAAGTGGATATCAGTCTGTATAACACACTGGTAAGATTTTCTCCAGGGAAGTAAAGGGAGACGAATGTCTTAGAACAGAAAATCTCAAGTGGAATGAGCCATTCCCTTCATCTTCCTCATGCTTTCACCAGTTAATTACAAGTGCTTACTGTGTCAGGTGTGTTCTGAGACTGTATATATAACAGAGTTAATGTTAGTATTCATTCTGATAGTCCTGTTTTCTAGCAGACATTTGGACTAAGAACACGTTGTTGCCGTCAAGTCAATTCCAACTCATAGTGACTCTTACATAAAGGTTTTCAAGGAGCAGTTGGTAGGTTTGAACCACTGAGTTTGTGGTTCGCAGCCCAGTATTAGCAGAATATGTAAGTCATGAAATCAGATGTTACTTATAGTTCTTGGTTACTGTTTGATTAATTATGAAGCTTGTCTTTGTGGGGGAAAAAAAACATGAACTTTTGTCTTAATGTCTTCGTCTGAAAATGAATCACAACATATATACCATATACTGTCAGACTATTCCAGTTCAGAATTTTTCCTTCTAATTGACAGCCTTAATAGTATTATTTTCCTTTTGACAGGCCCTTCACAATACAAGGCTCCTATCTGCTTATTCAGCCATTGATCCCAGAGTGAAATACTTATGCTATACCATGAAAGTATTTACAAAGGTGAGTGTCCTTCCTGGAAATTTATCAGGAAATTTTATTGTACCTTTAAACTTTGTTGAAAACATAATTCTGTGTTTTTTTAAAGAACCATACCCAAAACCAAAACCATTGCTCTTGGGTCAGTTCCAATTCATAGCAAACCTGTATGATTGAATAGAGCTGTCCCATGGGATTTCTAACACTGTAGTATGGATGTGAGATGGATGCTGGACAGATAAAAATGACATGCATCTAGTGCAACACCCTCAACTCTTTTTTTCCTAAGCCCCATTCCCCCCTCCCTTTTTCAATCTTTCTCTCTCTTTCTACTTCTGGAAGTTATTCTCAACCAAATGCAGATTGCCACATCTTTTCCTACAGAGCAGTGTTGTTGTGTTAAGTGCTATAAAGCCGGTTCCAACTCATAGCTACCCTGTAAAGGGTTTCCAAGAAGTGGTTGTTAGCTTTGAACCACTGATGTTAGTTTCAAGCTGACCTTGTGGGCCAGTGCTGATCCTACAGCGCCACACCAGGACTCCTACAGAACAATTTGTATGTGCCATTGAATCAATTCCAACCCATAGCAACCCTGAATAGGCTTTCCGTGGAGCAGCTGGTGAGTTTGAAGCACTGGTCTCATGATTTCCAGTTCAGTGTTGATCCTACAGCACCACACCAGGAGTCCTGCAGAGCAGTGTTGTTGTTAGATGCCATGGAGTCGTTTCCAAACCATGGTGACTCTGTAAAAGGGTTCCAAGAAGCGGCTGGTGAGCTTGAACCGCTTTCTTGGCGATTCAAATGACTTTGTAGTCCAGCATATTAACCCAGGACTCCCCTGTAGAACAGTTGTTGTTAAGTGCCATCAGATCGATTCAGACCCATATCAACCTTGTATAGGGTTTTCAAGGAGCAGCTAGTGAGCCTGAACCACTGATCTTGCAGTTCAGATGACGTTGCAGTCTGACATATTAGCATATAGGCAGCACCACACCAGTTCTCCTGTAGAACAATAGATGAATTGAAATCACCAACCAGTTAGTTAGTACTTAACCACTATGCCCCCACGGCTCTTTAAAGAACCCTGTTGTTGTTAAGTGCTATTGTTCCTACTCAGTGTGACCCTTTGTAGGATTTCTGAGGAGCAGCTGGTTAGTAGTCTACTGCTTGTCCTGCAGCACCATAGCAGAACTCCTTAAAGAACTTGGTTGTTGGTAACTGCTGTCAAGTGGTTCCAACTCACAGCAACCCTGTATAGAGTTTACAAGGAGCAGCTGGTGGGTTTGAACTGTTGACCTTGTGGTTCACAGTCCAGTGCTGTGACTACAGTGCCACACCATAGCCGTGTCAAATCCTTCCTTTATGGGAACCCCACTGTCATCGCGCCAAGTCTGACTCAAAGCAACCCTGTTAAGTGTCATTGAGTTCCAACTCATAGTGACCCTGTATAGGGTTTCTGAGGAGCGGCTGGTGAGCTTGAACCACCAACCTTGCAGTACAGGCTGACTTTGCAGTCCAGCGCATTAACCCACAGTGCCACAACAGGACAGGGTAGAACTCTTTAGGGCTCTTGAGACTAAATATTTACTGCAACAGATAGCTTCATCTTTCTTCTATAGAGAGACTGGTGGGTTTGAACCACCAACTTTGTGATGAGCAGCTCAACCCTTAATATACTGTACCATCAGGGCATGGCTGAACTAGCTAAAATTTTGTTGTTTCAAATTTTACATGATCTGGTCTTGGTTGTGGCTGATATTTTTACTGCTTTGTTAGGATTCTGAGAGAGATTGGATTGATTTTTTTGTTTGGTTTGGTTAGTTTTGTTGATATATTTTAGCATTTGAAATTATGATTTTTATTTTAGTCTTGGTGTGACACTGTGGGTTAATGTGCTGGACTGCAAAGTAAGTCATTTGAACTGCAAGGTTGGCGGTTCAAGCTCACCAGCTGCCCCTCGGAAACCCTATGCAGGGTCGCTATGGGTCAGAACAGACTCAGTAATACTTAACAACAAACAACAAGTAAAATCTGTTTTGCCTGGCTACTCATTACTTTTAGTGATAATAGAACAGCTTCAAATTTAGCAGAAGATGGTGATCTTTCTTTCATTCCTGGCTTTCTTTCCCTTTAGATCTGTGATATTGGTGATGCGTCGAGAGGCAGTTTATCGTCCTATGCGTATACTCTTATGGTGCTATACTTTCTCCAGCAGAGGAATCCCCCTGTCATTCCTGTCCTTCAAGAGGTATTAGTAAAAGACATTGTGTTTCTCATCTGTAAATCTCTGTGACCTCTGAGCCTCTTGTCTGTTCTAAAATCTGTAGGTTCTGTAATAAGTTTTTACTGTATTACTTTTTGTACTGCATACTAATATTTTATAAATTGATTTCAGATATACAAAGATGAAAAGAAACCTGAAATACTTGTTGATGGTTGGAACACTTATTTTTTTGATCAAATCGATGAGCTGGTACGTATTTTAAAAGTAAAGATTTTCTTCCATCTTTGTCTAAAGTTAACTGTGATATGCTATAGTGTAGGGAACTCTGCTACTGTTGATTATGTTTATGTGTATTATGATTGTAAAATGCTAACATACACAGATAGTTCATTTGAAGTTGAAAACATATTTGAGCCAGGGAAGTAAGTTTCCAGGAACTATGTTTAGGATTTCTTTACTGCCTAACAATTCAATGTGGATCAGTGGCTTTGGTCAGAATGATTGAATATTTGCATTTATGATTTTGTTCCAAGAGTTTGGAAAGGCATTCTTTGAGTGATAGAAACCCAGGAGTCACCTAGAGTCTTGAAATTTGTTTTCTTCATTTCTTCCACTAACAGACTGTATGCTCTGAGACTTGCCATTTAAAACCCTGAACTCTCCTTATCTCTACATGATGGATAGAGATGAATGACTGATGAACATTGCATTTTAAAGTAGGAAAGAAAATAATGATTATATATTTTATGTATTTCAGTTCTACTTAGTTAGAAATAAGTCCTAATCTGCTCCCTAAAATAAAATGAATACTGATGTTAGCACTCTTTTATTTAGCACATGATATATCATTTCTTTTCATTTCTAGTTCACATATTGGCCAGAATATGGAAAAAATACAGAGTCTGTTGGGCAACTATGGTTGGGACTTCTTCGTTTCTACACAGAGGAATTTGATTTTAAAGAACATGTTATTAGCATCAGGAGAAAGAGTCTACTTACAACTTTTAAGAAACAGTGGACCTCAAAATACATTGTCATTGAAGGTACGAATAAAACCCAGTTTAAAATGGAGACACATGTACAGCTCTAACTGAGAGAGCACTGCATACAGCACTCTTGAAGGCTTGGCTCCTTCTAGCCTGAAGAATGACTTGCAAGTGACTGGTGCCCTCAGGTGCGGCCTCTCACAAATCTGAAAGTCTTTACTTGCTATAACAAACCTTGGTGAGCCATGATATATCTATCAGTTATTATTGTTGGACACATACCGGAGAATAAGGTGGCAGTAGGTAGAAGCCAGCTGCAAGAGGGTTTTTATGTTCAAACCAGCTTAACTGAGGATTTAAGGAGTACCACCAGGTTCGAAACTACCAGCTGGTCCACGGGAGAAAGATGAGACTTTCTACTCCCTTAAAGATTTACAACCTCGGAAACCCTGTACAGGGTTGCTATGAGTCGAAACTGACTTGACGACACTTAACAACAACAAACCAGGGGTAAATTTTCAAGATCTGTATGTGTTCTTGCTAAAGGAACTTACCTACTAGTAACTGAGTTGAAGGTGCTTAACAACAACAGCACTAACAATTATACATAAATTCTGGCCATACCAAAGCCTTTTCTTTCTCTACCAGAATATAAGGCAATAAGGACCCATTAATGTTTACCCTTGATTACTTATTTCTAATTTATGGAGTTTTACTTGAAAAAGGACAAAAGGGAGTTGCTAAAGAAGTTTTTTGTTTTTTGTTTTTTGTTTTTACCTGTAATGGTATTCTGTTATTCTTTAATTTATAAAATATACTCAAATGGCATAAGAAGTGTGATGTGTGTTTCTCTAGGATATGCTTTCGTCCTATTTTCTACCTGTTGACAGTATTAAAGCACATGGAACATTTGTAAAATAGATTTGTTTTTAACTTTTTAGAGTTTGTGCCACAGACAACAAACATAGAACTTTGTTTTCACTCTTTTCCTTATCACAGTGGGTCTGATGGTCTGACCAATTACTGTTTAGTTTGTAAATTTTGAAGCTTTACCTTTTGCTGTTAATTTTTACATTCCTTTCAGATGAGCCTTTAGTAATTGGCTGTGTATCAGTTGTGTTCGAGCTGAGTCATGTCAGTGGTGGTGGCGGCAGTGTTTTTAACTGTTGAGTGGTTAATATTGTGTCTTTACTGCACACATACACCATAAAAACCAGCACCATGGAATCCAGACTTTCCGTAGCCGGCTGGATGAGTCCCCAAAACTATTGCCCTGCGATAATCTTTTAACTGTAAACCAAGACTGTTCTCTGAAGTCTTCTGTGAACAAAAAGAAAATGTTTATTTTAATTATTAAAGTACATCTCATTTGAGCACTGTGCTCTCTTCCAGAATCAATCAATATGAGGTCAGATTGACAGTGGAAACTCTAAAGACTCTAAGGGCAGCTCTGGGAGCAGGGAGCTTAAGATAATGGTGGTAGAATAGTGTAGAAAAGCATAGCCAGAAATGTGGCACAACTTGAAGAATGTGACTAGTGTCACTGAGGTGTCCATGTAGAAATGGTAAAGATGGTGTGTCTTCAGATGTGTATTCTTGCACCAAAAATTATAACATTTCTGTAAAAGAAAGCATAGTGACCAAATGGGCTAAGAGAACCTCTTTCATAGCAGTTCTGAGGGTAGGGCTGAGCTGAGAGCAGAGTTCATTTCTGTACCTCAGTAAATGGTTGGTGAATCTGGATCCCACTGTGGCCTGCCTCAGTTAACTGTGCCTCAGAAGCAGAACAGACAACCTGCAGGAGACCTGTTTTTATTGCTCCACTCCTATTTGTACAAGAGGGGATCCTGATACGGCACTGTAGGATAAGCACAAACTGCTAACCATATGGTCAGCGGTTCAAACCCACCAGCTGCTCCTCTGAAACCTCATACAGTGTTGTTTTTTGAGTCAGAAATTGACTTGATGACATTTAAATACTGCTACATTTGAAGGAGGGAACTTCAGAGAGTTCATAGGAAAATTCCATTATCTTTTTATTCCATTTTTCCACAAACATTTTTTTCTTTATTGCATTCTTGAATATGTTTTTAGGCATGTAGTAGAAAATAGTCAAATGTGGAGCTCTGGCAGCATAGTGGTTACGAATCAGGCAGCTAATCTCATGGTCAGCAGTTCAAAACTACCAGCTGTTCTGTGGGAGAAAGATGAGGCTTTCTGCTTCTGTAAAGATTTACAGCCTCGGAAACCCTGTACAGGGTCACTATGAGTCGGAACCGACTCCACAGCACATAACAACAACAACATTTCTTAATTATGAATTTTAAATTATGTAAATTATTTTAAATCATATACAAATAGTATTAAAATAGTACTTTTACCCCCCATGTGTTTCATTAAATAATTTGTGTAGACCTCATATATATCATTATAATTCAACTATAAGGCCTCACTCTTTCCTAATGGACACTTGTGGAGAACTTTACCTTATATTTAGGAATATCTGGTACCTAGCTGTATTGCAGACTCTAAAGTTGTTTATAAGCTCATCATTAGGACTCTCGGATGAACAGTAGCACTCATTAGGACAGTCAGCCAGAGGAGATCACAAGGGCAGCATCTTCCCCTGGAGGAAGCTCAGCCAGGAAGGGACATAATCGAAGGTTGAAGGGAACCGGAAATACAGGGAGGAAGTGGTAAGAGGGCTGCTGCATTGTGGGGCATTGCAATCAGTGCCACAAAGCAAAATGTATATTAATTGTTGAATGGAAGCCCAATTTGGTCTGTAAACTTTCACCAAAATCATAATTTAAAAGGAAATGTTTACTTAGAGCCACATAAATCCAAATTCCAGTTATATATATGGCAGTCTTTAATACTTTTAAAACTAGTAAGCAAAGTACTTGCCACTTTACCCTTGTTACATGGACCTCACATATTAGAGGAAGAATGGCATTTTAGTATCTTATTTGATATCCTTCGTTTTCTTTACTTAGATCCCTTTGATTTGAATCATAATCTTGGAGCTGGATTGTCAAGGAAAAGTAAGTTACTATATAAATTTTGATGAGATCTATCTCTTTTCCTTTTGGCCTATCTAATTGGGCTCTTACTCTTTTCTCTTAGTGATGAATTTTATAATGAAAGTTTTCATCAATGGGAGAAGAGTATTTGGTAGCCCAGTCAAAGGATTTCTAAAAGACTATCGCTCCAAAATGGTAAGTGTATGTTGACAGTTCCAAAAAACCAATACTGAAAGCCTTTTAATAAGCACTTAGTGGAGTCCTGGTGTGGCGCTGTAGGATAAGCACTGTACTGCTAACCACAGGTCTGTACTTCAAACCCACCAGCGACTCCTTGGAAACCCTACATGGAGTCGCAACAAGTGGGAACCAACTCAACACAACTTCACAGCAGCAGTATGTGCATATTGCTTCAGTAATAATGTCAATGCTCTGAGAATCTAGTGAATCTAGCCACCAGTCACAGTACAAAAGAGGATTCCTAAAGATTAATTTTAATAACCCTGTTGTGTGGCCATCAAGCAGGAACACAGGGAGAAATAACCAGAAGTGGAATTTAGGGGAAACGAATCATGGTACTACTTCTCCCTTCCCTTGGTAGAGTGTAGTCAGCAGCTTCAGTTTCATGCTGGTCTCAGCCAAGCTTGGTTTGCTTGTTTTCAAAGATCTACTCCCCTCTTCAGGATGCAAAGGAGAGGCTTCCAAAGAAGTGCCCCTGACTGGGGAGGGGAGCAGTCATGCTGGTGAGATGCTGAAACTGTTCCCTTAGGTAGCACTCGGTAACCTTGTTTTTAAGGAGCTATACCAATTTGAAATAAAACAAAAACTATACTATAAAAATGTATTTTGTTGAGAGAAAAAGTGATTAGGACCTATAGGGGGTTTTTTTTGTGTGTTTCTTTTTAATTTGTGGGGTGAACAACTAAATTTTATTTTTAGTGTATGCATCTATATATTGTTATTTACATACATATTTAGAATGTTTTCGTACATACACATCTGTCTAAAAGATACATCTTTGATTAACCTAGCTGGGATCGTGTCATTAAGTACAGTTTTTATTGTGAACTGAGTAATAGTTTACGTGGGATATCATCAGTGTTACACCATCATTTCATTGCAATGATTACAATCCCCTCCATGCATCATCATTCAACAGTATTTGCTTCCATTCCCTGTTTTTTTGTGTTTTTTCCCCTTTGGGGTTGGGGGAAGGATATACACAGAAACACTTAAGAATGTATAATAATTTAAACAACCAAAGGGCACATTCTGCAAGCCTGCCTCCTGGCCGCCAGTACCCAGTCCCTCTCTTTCCATGAGTCCAGAGTCCTCAGCTGTTCCCTCTCTTTGTGATCCCATCTCTGGTGTCACTGCTTCTCTGGATAGGGTCCTGTACTCCATTTGTGCTCTTCTCCCTTGATGGTCCTGTGGTCCTCTGTTTCTGGATGGCAAGATCAACTACTCCCCCATTTTTGTCACAAAATTCCTACCTTTACAGTTGTGACAGTTGTATTTAGTTATGGTAACAATTACTATTGAATCATAAGATTCTTATTTCCATCTCTTTTAACCAGACCCATCTAGACAAGATGAAAA